CAGGTATTTCCAATCAAAGAGATACTTTAGGTAAGTTATCAGATAAATAAAGATGGTTCATTCAAGGTCAAATATTTGTTTAACTTCTTTATTTTATTTTATTTTTATTAAATTATAACTTTGTACATTGATGCATTTATGGGGTTCAGGGTACTGCTTCGATATACAATGTGAAATGCTTATATTGAACTAAATAACACTCCATCACAATTATACTAATTTCTTAATAGTTTTGAAGTGTACCATTACATTATACACATTGTGTGAGGTCCCCCAAATGCCCTCCCTCCTTCCATATCCCCCTCCCCTCCCCTCTCTCTCCTCTTTCCTTCTACTTTCTGGACTATAGTTATGTTTTGCCATTCATATGAGTGTATAGGTGATTATATATTGATTACACAGTAATATTGAGTACATTGGATACTTCCCCCCCCACCATTTTTGAGATACTTTACTAAGAAGAATATGTTCCAGCTCCATCCAGGTAAACATAAAAGATGTGAAGTCTCCATCTTTTTTATGGCTGCATAGTATTCCATGGTGTATATATATCACAATTTGTTAATCCATTCATTGGTTGATGGGCACTTGGGCTGTTTCCAAGTCTTGGATATTATAAATTGGGCTGCAATAAACATTCTGGTGCAAATGTCTTTGTTGTAAAATAATTTTTGATCATCTGGGTATATACCTACTACAAGAATTGCAGGATCAAATGGTAGGTCTACTTTTAGTTCCTTGAGTATTCTCCAAACTTCTTTCCAAAAAGGTCATATTAGCTTGTATTCCCATCAGCAGTGTAGAAGCATTCCTTTCTCTCTGCATCTACACCAACATCTCTAGTTTTGGGATTTTGTAATGTGGGCTAATCTTACTGGAGTTAGATGATATCTCAAAGTGGTTTTGATTTGCATTTCTCTGATGATTAAAGATGATGAGCATTTTTTCATGGGTTTGTAGGCCATGCACCTGTCTTCATCAGAGAAGTTTCTGTTCAAGTCTTGCCCACAGAGAAATGGGGTTATTTGTTCTTTTCTTATTGATTAGCTTGAGTTCTCTGTAGATTCTAGTTATCAGAACTTTGCCTTTGTCGTAAGCATAACCTGCAAAAATCTTCCCCATTCTGAAGGTTGTCTATTGCTTTACATAGTGTGCTCTTGGCTGTGCAAAAGCTTTTTAGTTTGATCAGATCCCAGTAATGTATTTTTGGTGTTGCTTCAATTGCCCAGGGGGTCCTCCTCATAAAATATTCTCCCAGGCCAATTTCTTCAAGTGTTTTTCCCTCACTCTCTTCTATTATTTTTATAGTTTCATGTCTTAAGTTTAAATCTTTTATCCAGTGAGAATCAATTTTTGTTAATGGTGAAAGATGGGAGTCCAGTTTCAGTCTTCTTCAGGTGTCCAGCCAGTTCACCTAGCACCATTTGTTAAATAGGGAGTCTTACCCCACTGAATATTTTTGATAGGCTTGTTGAAGATCAAATGATGATAAGTAGCTGGGCTCATCTCTTGGTTCTCTATTCTGTTCCATAAATCTACCACTCTGTTTTTGTGCCAGTACTATGCTGTTTTGATCACTATAGATTTATAGTATAGCCTGAAGTCCTGATTTGTTCTTATTTCTGAGTAATGTATTCAAGGATTTTTTCTGATTCCATATAAAATGAAGTACTATTTTTTCCAGTTCTTTCAAGACAATGGTGCTTTAATAGGGATTTCATTAAATCTGTAGATTGCTTTGGGTAGTATGGACATTTTAACAATGTTAATTCTTCCCAGCCATGAGCATGGCATGTTTTTCCATTTGTTAACATCTTCAGCTATTTCTTTTCTCAGAGTTTCATAGGTCTCTTTATAGAGATCTTTCATGTTCTTTTTAAGGTAAATTCCCAGATATTTCATCTTCCTTGGCACTACTGTAAAAGGAATAGAGTCCTTGATTGTTTTTTCAGCTTAACTATTGTTGGCATATATAAAAGATGCTCACTTGTAAATATTGATTTTGTATCCTGAGATGCTGCTGTATTCCTTGATCACTTCTAAGAGTTTTCAAGTTGAGTCCCTGGGATTTTCCAGGTCTAGGATCATATCAGTGAAGAGTGAGAGGTTTTTTTTTGTTTGTTTGTTTGTTTGTTTTTTAGTTTTTCTTTCAATTTCAGATGGCTTTCACTCATCTGAATTTGAAGGTTTGTTTTGTTTTGTTTTTTAATTTTTTTCTTTCTTCCTTTAGCAATTCTCTTGCCCTTTGCCCTCCAAGTAGCCCACCACAACACTCGGCTTTTTTTTTGGTAGAGATGGGGTCTGACTCTGGCTCACTCTGGCTCATGCTGGTCTCATTCCGGTCTCAAACCTCTGAGCTCAGGCGATCCACCCACCTCGGCCTCCCACAGCACTGGGACAACAGGCATGAGGCCCAAAGAGTGAGAGTTTGATCTCCTCTGACCCGATTTGAATACCCTTGATTGCCTTCTCTTGCTTGCTATAGCTAAGACTTCCATTACTATGTTGAATAGCAGTGGAGACAATCAGCATCCTTGCCTCATTCCTAATCTGAGTAGAAATGTTTTAATTTTACATCATTCAATATGATATTTGTTGTGGGTTTGCTGTAGATGGCCTCTATCACTTTAAGAAATGTCTCTTCTATGCCTATTTTCTTAAGTGTTCTGATCATGAAAGGATGCTGGATATTATCAAAGGCTTTTTCTGTGTCAATTGAGAGAATCATATGGTCTTTGTTTTTTATTTTATTGATGTGATGTATTATATTTATAGATTTGCATATGTTGAACCAACTCTGTAACCCTGGAATAAAACCTACTTGATCATGGTATATAATTTTTTTGGTATGGTGTTGAATTCTGTTTGCTAAGATCTTATTGAATATTTTTACATCAATATTCATTAATGATATTGGTCTATAATTTTCTTTCTTTGTTGGATTCTTTCCTGGTTTGGGTATCAGGGTGATATTTGCTTCATAGACTGTGTTGGGAAGTGTTCCTTCTTTTTCTACACTTTGGAAAAGGTTGAATAATATAGATACTAGTTCCTCTTGAAAAGTTTGATAGAATTCAAGTGTGAAGCCATCTGGTCCTGGACTTTTCTTTTTTGGGAGATTTTGTATTGTTGATGCTATTTCAGTGATATAAGTCTATTCAAGATTTCTTTTTTTTTTTTTTTTTTTGAGACAGAGCCTCAAGCTGTCCCCCTGGGTAGAGTGCTGTGGCATCACTCACAGCAACCTCCAACTCCTGGGCTCAAGCGAGTCTCTTGCCTCTGCCTCCCAAGTAGCTGGGAAAGATTTCCAATTCTTTCTGATTGAGTCTAGGAAGGTGGTGTGCTTCCAGGTATTGTCCATTTCCTTCAGATTTTCATATTTCTGGGAATAGAGATTTATGTTGTAATCATTGAGGATTTTTTGAATTTCTGAAGTGTCTATTGTTATTTCTCCTTTATTGTTTCTGACAGATGATATTAGAGATTTTACTTTTCTATTTCTGGTGAGGTTGGCCAAAGGTTTATCAATTTTGTTAATCTTTTCAAAAAAACAACTTTTTGTTTCATTGGTCTTCTGAATGATTCTTGTTTTCAATTTCATTTAATTCTGCCCTAATTTTAGTTATTTCTTTTCTTCTGCTGGGTTTGGGGTTGGAATGTTCTTCCTTTTCCAGTTGCTTAAGATGATCCATTAAGTTATTGGCTTCCTCTCTTTCTGTCTTCTTAATGAAGGCTTCCAATGCTCTAAATTTTCCCTCTAAGGATTATCCTCAAAGGATACTGCACAGGTTTTGATAATTTGTGTCTTCATTATCATTTTGTTCCAAAAACTTGGTGATTTCTTTCTTAATCTCATCTTTGACTCAGCTATCATTCAGCCTAAGATTTAGTTTCCATGACTTTGAGTATGAGGATTCCTGTTGCTGTTGAGTTCAACTTTTATTCCATGGTGGTCCAAGAAGATATAAGGAATAATTTCTATACTTTTAAATTTGTTGAGGTTAGACTTTTGTCCTAGGATATGATCTATTTTGGAGAATGACCTGTGGGCTGATGAGAAGAATGTATATTCAGTTTTATTAGGGTGAATGTTCTGTAGATATCTGTAAAATCCGTTTGTTCTAGGGTCAGGTATAAGTCTAATATTTCTTTGTTTAGCTTCTTCTTGGAGGATCTATCCAAAACTGTCAAAGGGGTGTCAAAATCTCCAACTATTA